CTATAACTGTCACACTTCTCTACAATCACACATTTTCGTATCCCAAATGTGTGATTATAAAGAGGTTTGACTGTATTTAGAAAAAAGAAAAAGGATCTTGATAAAAAGCCACAGCCATGGCAAATTGGTCTAATTCTTCATATTATACGTGTGGCATAACTTGATATAGTCAATATTATTTATGGGTTTATGTGCAAAAATATTGAATTCTTATATTTAACTAATCTTTTGAGCAATTTAATCACTTTAGTTCTTGATGTATATGTGGTGCATCATCGAGAAGGTAACTGATTATCCTATGAAGAAGCCTGTATATATTGTTGGAGCGATCTTTTTCTTAGATTTAATCAAAAAAATTACAAACGTGCACCTTTAATGTTCTTTTCTAACATATTTTATTGGATGGAAACAAACTATCTAATATTTAATTTTGTTACTAACCACCTTGCTGCTTTAAGCAATTGTCTTGTAGAAATCATTCACAGTATCATTCATCAATGCCAACTACATATTTCACGGCTTAGCAATTGCAAAAAGAGGTGCATTGCATTTTTCATCATCGAGAAGACAGTGCCTTTCATCAACACTTCATTAATTCTATGAAATATCTGTATACACCAAAACAGTTGTATACACTTTCTCGAAAATGTTCTGTAGTGCTTCTTGATACATTTATGAAGATATATCAAGCATACAACTTGTATTCTTCAATCGTCAATATATCTGATGACATTAACTTGTACAAATTGCCTTCTTTAGGTTATGTAATAATGGATCATCATCTTCCAAGAGGCTTTGTTATCTCAAGAAAACCCTTTTCAAGTGTTCTATGCGATTTCTTATATCACAGGTATACTAACTATACCAACTATTCAAATGATGGCTGTGTTCTCGCATGTGGGCATGGCTATCATAACCAGTGCCTGCAAAGGTGTTAATTTAAATGTTTTATATATCGAGATTATCTTCGGGATGAAATTAGAAAAAATATTACTGCATTAAAGGTAAGTTTGGTTAAAAAAATTAGGAGAAAATGAGTTTATTGATGAGGGTAATGAAGATACAGATGAAGATGATTTGGGTAGTGCTGAAACAGTAATGGATGATGAAACAACAATAGATGATTTATTGGAACAGGCAAAAAAAACATTTTTAAATTTTAAAAAATTTTTTTTTAATTTAAATAAATATAAAATTTTGAACTTTTTATTATATATCACAATTTTATACTTCTGAGCTCTGTAATTGCATAAAACTCAGTCGTATATCAGTATATCAAATACATCTTTATTGTGTCATAAATTAATTTTAATATTTACGGCATGATGATGACAATTAAATATTCAAAATATAGAAATGCGAAGTTTTCTCCACCAACGCTAATAAAATATTGAATTATAGTATTCGCTTATTATTAAAATTCACGATTTCCATTGGCTAAAAAATGTTATGCAAGATCGGAACATTGTGTAACACAAATTATTTATTTGGGACGGTCCCTCCTGCTTACAAATCCGGATCTTGACCCGTGCCGATCCGGTACATTTTCTTATAGGCATCTTTTTTGTTCATTTGTTTCTTTTCAGAACTTTTGTTTTCTCTTGGAGTCATTTACAGTCAAACCTCTTTATAATCACACATTTGGGATACGAAAATGTGTGATTGTAGAGAAGTGTGACAGTTATAGAGGTCAAATTTATTATATTCAATAATAGTTCGTTTTTTAAAAAATATGCTCATAAAGAAAATGTGCTTATATAGGAGGTGACTATAGAGAGGTCAGACTGTATACACTATATAAATTTTGTATCTTGCTTATCGTGTTGTACCGAGTCAACCAATTAACTGATTAAGAATTCTGCCCAATTAATTCAAATCATTACAGTGTAAACTTCTACTTATTAACCTTTCAAGCAATGAATCTAGTGAATTAGCTTTATTTATAAGTGGTTTCGTTTATATACCATCATTGCGCATTGGATCTAATTGGACGAACCTTAAATTTGATGGAGATACACATGTGCAAATATATAGCTGATAAAGGGTGCCTTCCTCAACGGACCAACAAAGGGTCTAATTGGTTTCTCTGAAATTTGGTACTTGAGAGCACTCAATGTGCATTGAGTCATGCAAGTAATTAATGATAAAATAATGCCAATACAACTATTGGATTGTGATTATTTCCGTAAGATATATATTTTACCTTTTTATATCTGTAATGATTTTGTTTTATGACCCAATGGTAATCTTTTACAGTTTCCTATAAGTGCAACTTCTCTATAAATGCAACTTTAAATTCTGGCCTAAGTAAATATTATAATTGTTCTCTAAATGCATGTTACTAAAGGTTTGATACTAAAGAATTATACATGGATAAAACTAATTGTATAGAAGTAATTTATTTTAACTATCGTCATTTCAATAATTACATATGTTGTAAGTGGGGACAAGATTCGAGTGGATTTGAAGTACAGTCAGACCTCTATATAGTCACATTTTTTATAATCACACCTCTATATAAGCACTTAATTTTGTTAAATAAACTACAACAAATATATAAAAAAAACCTCTATATAAGCATAATCTCTTTATAAGCACATTTTTAAAAAAAGTTCTTATGCTCCCAACTAAGTGATTACATAGAGGGTTGACTGTATTTTAAGGTTAGAGTTCAGGGTTATATAAAATATTTTCTATTCAAATTTATAATATTATTAAGAAATTCCAGATCCACTAATTTCAGTTTCCACTTACGACGCACATTTATTACAATATTGAATTCACAGTACAGCCTGCATACAGTACCCCTGGTATTTTGCAAAAAAAGCAAAATAAATTAAATAAGAGCGTATACTGTAGAGAGTAATAATGCGAGTTGATCGTATAATATGATCGCTGATTCGGGCAATAAACTAGTGACAGTGTGACAAAAATAAAATAGGAAAAAATAGGCAAAAATATTTAATGACATCTAAAATGTAAAAATTATTATAATGAGTATCATCATTTTCTTCACTATGATACAATATATGTATACTAATTTCATACTTAACTGCGTATATAACTGAACTGAGTACTTTCTTAACTGCCATTATAGCGACATACAAGATGTATAGTACAATCCTTTTTGATTTTGTAAAATGAAATGGTATTATGGTTTTCTAATTGTTTGCCTCTGAAAATTAATCGCTGATGCTCAGGGCGAGTGCCTGGAGAGAAGGGTATTATTAAAATGCATGATTTCATTTTCTTCGTCATAAAAAATAAATACTGTACCATCTTCCTGATGGATTTTGAGCTTGAGTGTTTCAACTGTGTCACTTCCTTCAACGTAGATATCGATTTTTATATCTTGCAGATTCATTACTTTGATTTTAAAAACACCTGCATTGGAATCATCATCTGGTAAATTATCATTGGGTAAATTGTTATTGGTTATATTTGGTTCATTTCTTTGGAAAAAATAATTGTAAACCGTATTCCAGAGACTGGTAAAATAAAATTCATCCTCGAAATCCTCGCCTAACTTAACATTAATCAAACGAGCTACTTGAGGACATTCCTTAAAACTGGTACTTTCTTTGCAAATTGGACAAATGTTTCCTATATTTCGGATGCATTCTTGACAATAATATTTGGGACAGCATTGTGTTTCTCGAGGATTAGGCTTTAACTCCCTACATATGGTACATTGAAATTCACTCAGGTCCATATTAACTGCTTCTCAAGTTTCTGAGGAGTAAAGAGATAAAAAATCTCCTAAAATAATTTAGGGTAACTTATTTTTTAAATGTTATTAGCTATATTGCTGTATGTAAAAATATGAGTGTGCGAAAAATCCCAGGCGTTGGACTATGAAAAATGATCGGAATATTTCTCCGAAAAATTTTGATACAATCATGGTGTAATCATATTTCTAAGATAGCAATGTATGTCATGCAAATGCAGTTAACTGTGTGGGATATAATTTTTGCCCCAAATTTTGGGACAGAATTTAATAAGGTAAATTCAAAAGTATTTTACGAATCGTGAGTCAAAACGCGTTATGGGCTAGGGTAAATTGACTTGGTAGGGTGTCCAGGATCATGATGCTACGTTGTAAAAATGTGAAATTCTCTGTACTACAAAATACACTACAACTCAACACTAATACTAATTAAACTACTCTAACTAAGCCCTAATAACAGTAAGGTTTCGATCGAGACATGTAAAGGCTTGGTCCGAGTAACTAGGGTCAATTGGAGCTTTATATTAAGTTACGAGGTTTGATCACCGTTAATACAGATTTTTACTTGTTCGGATTAGTAGAGCCAAGCAATGTTGAACTCTAACCAATAATCTTTTATTGAGAGTGAAATGGCTCCGTTTATATACTTATTTGCATAGTAATGGAATAACAGAGATAATCCAAATATCGAATATAATAAAGATATCGGAAATACTAAAGATTCCATCTTTAATATACTTGCTATTTGGGATCTTTATAATATTTGTGATCTTAGATATTTCTGGGATTTTCAGAATTCTATTACGTCAAAAACCGCAGTAATTATCAGCGTGCAATTTACACTTTCACAACGTACTATACGTACGTACGTACATACACGGGCATTATTTCAGTATTTTGAAAGAATATGCACATATCTAAAATAATACTTAGGTAGGCGTTATTTCACGACAAAACGGTAATAAATTGCCTATGTATCACTTTCCTAAAGCGAGAACAATAATATCAAATATATAGATGCTATTTTGACGATTATCTGATAGTTTACGTACGTACGAACTAACGAATTTAATCAAAAATGAAAATTATTTTATCAATCGTTTTTTCTGCATAATTAACATTCACAAAAGCACATACGCATTTTATCCTATTGGGAGAGGAGAACACAGTGCTGTTCTTGTTGATAAAAAGCTTTACTTTCTTGGTGGATGGAGTTTGGAAGATAAACATTATGCTTCAAACCAATTGTTTTATCTTGACGTCTCAAAATCATTTACTACATTTGACGTAAGCTTAATGCCTTGGACTGACCTTCATTCGATTTCAGGTATAACTTATAAAACTGCTGCAACAGCTTGTGTTTGTGATACTACAATTTATTATATTGGTGGATCTCATTATGGACGTCATGTTAGTAAATTTGATACGATATCTCTGCAATGGAGTGAACCTACTACTTCTGGATCGATACCTCCTACTTACGGGAGACCTGGAGAACAGATGAAATATGTTCAATGTGTAATTTTAGGACATAAAATACATATTTATGGTGGATTTACTTCTCATAAAATGAATATATTAGATACTTCAAATCTATATTGGTCTGCATTTTCATCGTCACTAATATACAGTGGATCGCAATTTTACAGTGCTACATTAATAAATGATTCAATTACGTATATACATTGGGGGAGGATTTAGTACACTTGGTGGTTGCCAATCTAATTCAATTCATGGGGTATGATATTAAGCTGTATTATATTTATACAGTTAGACGTCTCTAAATGCACCCTATAGGGACCAGCTTTTAGTTACATGCATTCAGAGAGATAAATATATATTTGGGCAAGAAGCATTTAAAAAGTTTAGAGAGTGTGAACTTAGAGAGGTCTGACCGTAGTTACTACTATAATGTTTTGCAAATAGTATTTCAAGTTTACCAAGAATACTAATAAAGATTTAAGCTTGGAAACTATAAGCTGCATGAGTGACGGATGTAGTTTTAGGAAAAACGCGTACGTACGTGTATGATGTGTCCAAGCTTCCTCAAACTAATGAGACACGACCTGTTGTGTTGTTGGGTGTGAATTTTTCCCAGGACGTGAAAAAATAGGAAGGGGAAAATTGTTGGTGGCAAAACCAACGAAATCCGCAGCACCAAATTCGACGTCACCCAAAAACGTGACGAAAGACACGAATCGGGGCCCCCCAAAATCGGCTAGAAAATCGGAGGAACCAGTTTTGCCTCAAAAGCCCCACCGCAAAACAAGCCTGAAGCAGCCACAAAGATAAAGAATTTGAGGGAAAGTGCTAAACTAATCGTC